GGGTGCCCATAACTCAGTCTAAAGTCTCTGTGTGCCAGGGTTATCAGATCAGGAGTATCAGACTAAATTACTATCACTTGCTCTCCTTTCTTCTTTTTATAATAAATGTATAAAATGCATTTTTAGACAATAAAATAATTTATTGAGGTATTTAAAGGAAATAATTTTAAGCTTTTGTGAAAACTGGAGTAAGAAAAATCACAGTGGCATTGAACTAGCAAGGAGAAAAATTACTTGGATATAAACTCATTTCCCCACTAGCTACTTTCAAGAAGGGCAAAGGAAAATATTCATAAACTGTTTTGGAAAGTATTTATATTTTTCTGAAAATTCCAATGTCGTACAGATCAAAATCTGATCCTCAGTCAGAATAAACAGAACACTTTTTTCATACAAAAATGTACATGTAGCTAGGAAGTTTTATAATCCTTACCTTTGTCTCAGAATTCCTGATTGTTCCTTCACTTAACCATCTATGGGGCATTCATTCTACCTGCTATTTATTTGAATTTTAAATCAGAATCGTGTCAATTATTTGTGTAAGTAACATCCTACGAAGACAGACAAATTTCAGCAAATGCAGAGGCACATGAAGATGCTGAGGGTGCTGGGGAGGCCTTACCTGCTGGAACACCCTAAACTAAACCAGAGGACTAGTAATGCACAGAGGTGCTAGAGCTGGCAGCAGTGAGTTTGAGATCACTAAGTACAGTGCTGGATTTTAAAGGCTGTATTCGAAATGCTAGGTAGTAAGAAATCAAGGCAGACTTGTGAATGGAAAAAAGATATGATAAAAGTTGTTTGAATCATTTAAAATTCATCTGATGTTCATCCATTTATTCTATTCACTAATTCAACAGATATTTAGTAAGCGCCTATACTATGTGCCACGCACTGTCCTGAGCATTAGAGATGTGAGTAAATGAAGCAAAGACCTGCTCTTGTGTAGGACTGGTGGAGGGGACAGCCATAAATCAACATGAGTATGAGATAAAATATCTGTGCGATGATGAAAACCAAAGTGGGACAAAGGTTAAATGAATCAACAAATAGAGCTTCTCAACAAGCACACAGGAATTATACACAAACAAAGGGAAATTCTGGAGTTAAAGGCCAGGCGACGGCCTGTAATCCTAGCACTCTGGGAGGCCCAGGCGGGTGGATCACTCAAGGTCAGGAGTTCGAGACCAGCCTGAGCAAGAGTGAGACCCCGTCTCTACTAAAAAATAGAAAGAAATGATCTGGACAACTAAAAATATATATAGAGAGAAAAAATTAGCCGGGCATGGTGGCGCATGCCTGTAGTCCCAGCTACTCGGGAGGCCGAGGCAGAAGAATCGCTTGAGCCCAGGAGTGTGAGGTTGCTGTGAGCTAGGCTGACGCCACGGCACTCACTCTCTAGCCCGGGCAACAAAGCAAGACTCTGTCTCAAAAAAAAAAAAAAAAAATTCTGGAGTTAAAGAGCATAAGTGGCAGAGGAAAGAATTAGTGAACTTAAAGATAGAGCAATAGAAATTATTCAATCTAAAGAACAGAGAGGAAAAAAAAATTGAAGAAAAATGAACAAAGCCTCAGAGACCTGTGGGACAACATCAAGTGTCTCAACATACATATTACGGAAGTACCACAGGTGAGAAGAGAAAAGAGCCAGAAAAAAATTTTGAAGCAATAATGGCTGAGACTTCCTAAATCTGATGAAAAACTTTAATCTACACATTCCAGCTGCTCAATGAACCCTGGTAGGACAGAGAAAGAGATCCACACCTGGACCGATCGTATGTGCAGGAGAGCACCTGTGTCATTAGCAGCCGGCTCCCCTTCAGAAACACTGGAGGACAGAGGAAGTAGAATGACATAGTTGAAATGCTGAAAGAAAAAAACTTCTCAACCAAGAATTCTATATCCAGAAACACCATCTTTCAAAAATGGAGGTGAAATAAAGACATTCTCAGATCATCAAAGACTAATAGAGTCTGTTGCGAGCAGAGCTGCCTTACAAGAAATACGAAAGGACGTCCTTCAGGCTGAAAGGCAATGACGCTAGAGGGTAACTACAGGACACAGGAAGAAATAAAGAGCATGGGAAATGATAGATATGTGGATTAACATAAAAGATTTTATAAGGATTGTTTTTTATTTCTTCTTCTAACTTCTTTAAAAGGTAGAAGATTATATTAAGCAATAAGTATAGCACTGTATTTTTTGGTTTATGACATATATATATGCAATATATGATAATAATACAAAGGATGGAAGGAATGGAGCTATATGGGAGCATATCTTCTATATTTCACCAGAATTAAGTTAGCA